TATATGCGTGTGTATAAAGTTTAGATTCACTACCTGAAGGTATGGCAGTTGGCATCTCATCATCGGATTCCACCTCTTCAACGATAGGGTACTTTTGTGCCCCGGTACTCGGTTCTATAACGATACAATAAAGAATCAACAATGACAATGCTACATGATGGTCTACGTTATACCGGCAGTGATTAAACATGATGAACTATATCAAACAGGAATGACAGCACGTTTATACAGACCAATATGCGACAGATCGCACCTTATCAGAAGGTTACTCGCTTATGTACTTTGGTTCTGAACAGTTGAATCAGACTGAGCGAGCGTCTCTTTTGGGCGGGCAGTGTATGGCCATCCACATTCCGGGATACACTAACCCGTACACACACTTACAAACGAACAAAAAAGCCCCAACATAAACGTAACTGAAAATATAGCACACAGACACAAATCCGATTTAAAATATGTATGTACATATACAAAATAAGATACGAATACAAACAAACAAAAGAGTATTGGTTTGCTTGTCTATATGCGAATATAAGCAAGCAAAAAAACAAAAGAGGAAACAAAGAGGGGCACACACAGGTAAATATAAAACATAATGAACACGTAAAAAAGTCACACACCTGAAACCAGAGGCTCAGTCTCGTTTTCTGGCTCGGGATCAGTGAATATAAATGCGCGTAGGTCTTCCTCACCACCCGCACCCCCGCCACTACTCATCAGCACATGCGCGCCTATGCGTGACTCAAGCCCCTTGAATTCGGCTTCTTCATCACTATCGCTGTCGCTGTCGGATATGCAGCCGTGAAGTATACTTTAGAATATATAAGAATACTGTGTGGATAGTGTGTACAAACTACGCGGTATGCACAAACGGATATACATCTCAAACTACTTCTGGCACTACAAAGGTGTATGTGGTGTTCCAATACTATGGGATACGCACAAACAAATATAGATCTCAAAATATAGAGGTATGCATGTACTGTGCCTATACTATGCTATGAGACATGCACAGACAAATACATATCTAAAACAACGAATGCGAGAGTATATCTATGTAGACGTATCTACGCTATGTAAGTTTAGGAGTGTCATCTGGAAAAAATACATATATTGGCATATATATATATATATATACATACATACATACATACATACATACATACATACATACATACATACATACATACATACATACATACATACATACATACATACATACATACATACATACATACATACATACATACATACATACATACATACATACATACAT